CTTATTTTGAAGTAAAAAAGCAAAATGGGAACAAATACAATATTTGTATTTGCATGTGGCCCGTGGGCCGTAGTTTGAGGACCCCTGCTCTAGGTCCTCAGCATGTGTTGACTTCATCTTTGCAACTTAGGGCAAAGGAACTACTATTCCCACTTTATAGATGAGGAAAACGAGGCACAAGAAGGTTAACTAAGTTGAGCATAATGCATAAATGACTAAGTGGCAGAGGTGGGATTTGAACCCAGAGGCCCTGCGCCTAAAGTCTGTGGGCTTAATCCCCACACTGCACTGCTGTGTATGTGTACCCCCATGTCCCGTGTGGTTCAGGGTTCAGGATCTGGAAGAGGGGCCGCACACAAATGAAAGAGACAAGAGATAATAATTTGGAAATTGGGGGGCCAGGCGAGAGCCCATCCCAAGAGGATGGACTCCGCTTGTGCGCAGGCCTCGCCATGCTTTTATTCAGTCTGGGATCTATCCATAGCCCTTAGATAGGCAAGTTCCAGTAACAGACAGACTATCTTATCAGTAAGGATTTACGTGACTATCTGGTGGGGAAGTTGCTTCAGCTTCCATTGTCTCGCCTAAACAGTGGGTGCATAGCTCTGACCTTTGCTAGGGCTCAAGGGTCACCAGCATTCTGGGCTTCTTGTCCACACTCTCCACTAGAGAAGACAATAGGCGGCTTCCCACACACTGCCCTGTGTGAGGGTCACAAGGATACATTGAGAGGCGAGGGAGAATGAGATGACAAGGTGGAGGCAGAAAGGACTTAAGCCAAGGTGAGGGAGAATGCACCCGGGGAGAGGGCTAGAGAAACAAGACAGGCGGAGAGAGAGGGAATACCTGGCCAGCAGCAAGTCGGAGCAGGTAGACTGAGGTCACAAGCTCGGTCTGGCTGGCACAAAGCTGCAGGGGGGAGAGGGGTGGGAAGGAGACTTGGCGAAGAAGGGGCAGAAGTGTGTGAGGCCGTGGGGGAGGCAGACGTGGACGGGCCCCTTCAGGGTTCTGCTCTGCCCATCCAGGGGCCTTGGTGCCACAGTGGCCGTGTCCCCCACTCCACAGGGAGCTGCTTCCTGTGCCTGGTGGACGTGGTACCCGTGAAGAACGAGGATGGAGCTGTCATCATGTTTATCCTCAACTTCGAGGTGGTGATGGAGAAGGACATGGTGGGGTCCCCGGCCCATGACACCAATCACCGCGGGCCCCCCACCAGCTGGCTGGCCCCAGGTAAGTGTGGCCACACCCGGACTGGTGCAGGAATAACAAGCTCTCCCTTTTCTTGGGCCCTGAGGCTCCCCAAGGCCACTGCCCTGCATGAAGGAATGTGTGCGGGGTCCCTTCAGAGTTTACCGAGGACGTGGCCTGGTCTCATCTGGCTCAAAATGAACAGACAGGGATGGAGTGACAGCACCACAGGTCCTTAGGGCAAGATTGCACCTGGTGTCCGAGCTTTACCTGCTCAGGTTTCCACTGCAGCATCCTCTGGGCGTGGTCCTCTCTGCAGCCCAGGGTTAGGGCATTCACCCTTCCAGACATTCCGGCCCTTTGCTCATCAGAAGGCCCCATCTCTCAGGGACCCAGATGTCTTTCTGGGGAACTTCTGCCCCTGGTCCTTGTTCTTGGAAGGACAGCTCCCTGGTGTGGCCTGGGCTAATTGAGGAGAGAATTTGAGGGAAATGCTCACGTGGCTGGAGACATGGAACCCTCACCTCATCCCCCTGTGACTCAGGCGCGGACTCCTTTCCTCCCCGCCGTGGCCTCTTGGGTTTAAATCTCATTTGCCCTTTAGAGTCATGGCAAGGAACCCACCCCGTGGTCTCTCAAGCTCTAACCTGGCAGTGTTAACGCCGGGGCCATCTGCAAGTTGGCGGGGTCTGGCAAGAAGGCCTGTGTCGCTGCCCTGTTTGGAGGCAGGCCTCCCAGGCACCGTGGGGCCTCCAGCGAGTCAGTGCATTATGCCTGCGTTTCCTGCCTCGCTAAGGGGAAGGGGAAATGTTGCCCGCAGTGCAGTCACGTCACCCACGGTTTGAGTAGAGCCCACTGGGGTATTTGGCTTAAGAAATAGTTGTTTATTATTTTCAGAGCCTCGGATAAGATCGGGTCCTAGAACTTTTTGAGATGAGTGGAAGTCGGGTGGAGGGGTGCCCACTGCCAGGCTCCCACTCCCCACCTTCCCCTTCTGTTTGGCAGGGGCTCCGGCTCCTGGGCCTGCCCGCTTCTGGCCGCTCCTGTCCCCCCAGCCAGACAGCTCCCTTCTCCCCACAGGTCGCACCAAGACCTTCCGCCTGAAGCTGCCGGCCATGCTGGCTTTAACAGCCCGGGAGTCCTCGGGGCGGCCGGGTCGCACAG